GATGGCTACTTCCAGCAGGGTAACACTCCATGTCATAAAGCACGTATCATCTCAGACTGGTTTCTTGAACACCACAATGAGTTCACTGTACTTGAAAGACCTCCACAGTCACCAGATCTCAGTCCAATAGAGACCTTTGGGATGTGGTGGAATGGCAGATTCCTATCATGGATGTGCAGCCGACAAATCTGCAGCAACTGTGTGATGATATCGGGTCAATATGGACCAAAATCTCTGAGGAATGTTTCCCATACCTTGCTGAATTTATGCCACAAAGTATTAAGGCAGTTCTGAAGGCAAAATGGGGTCCAACCTGGTACTAGCAAGGTGTACCTAATAAAGTGGCCAGTGAGTGTACGTCCATTTGTTCAAAGATTACATTTTTAGCTTTTTATTGAAAACAACCATCTTTCAAGGAAGTGGGCGATGTTAGAAATGGCTATCTGTAGCAAGAACATGTAGCATTGGTCAACTTTTTCTCTTGTTCAAATGTATCTCCTTGTTTTGAAATAGACCTWAAAATGGAGTTATGGACAAAAAGTCAGGAAACTAATTAAAAACTTGCTTTTGAATTTGAGCAATTCTTATATTTTGTACAGAAAACACATTTGAATCGACTCAAGCACTTGAAACTGTTGCTGAGGCAGCTTTGACATGTTAATAAGTCAACTTTGTTGCCTCATGTGAAGTGTAATTATAATGTTCCCAGAGGCATGTACACTTGCATTGTTTTATCACACCCGCCCCCCACCTAATACAGTACTTGACCTATTTAATGAGTATTTTATTTAATAAGAAGTGGTGCCTGGAAGCACAACAGTTTAAAAAATTTTATATTTTTGCAAAAAAAAAAAGACCTAAAGCATAAAGACAACACAAAATTGCCAATCAGTTATTAAGAATTGTTTTTAATTTCATGTATCTAAGAGTGGCAAAATATGTGGGCCTTTAATCCCACTTGGCTGTGACTGTCGGGGACTAGATGTTGAGATAAAATTGTAAGAAAACAGGATAATTTTCAGCTGCATTTGCAGAGTGTTTGCAGCTTAGCTTCCAGCCTGCCTGGTCCAGCACTGAGGATCTGTGGCTCKGGTGTATTTCCTCATCGATTGTAGGGGTTGGAGAAGGTAAAGTGAATGTGGGCTGGTGTTTGGACCTGTGCGGGTTCACCCCAGGACATCTCGGGGCATTGCAGACCTGTTATTGATCAGGGGACTGTGGTGAAAGCTCACTACTCTCATCGTGTTATTTTCCCCCACTTCGTCCGTCATGGTAGTACACCTATCAGCGGAGAGATTACAGGAGGCTTGTTTCCACAAACACTTCAAACACATTTTGTTTTTCGAGTGCAAACAATGCACGCAGCATAAAGCATAGTCAAAGTTGTGCTTTGAGATAAAAAAAGTTTTCAAAATTGCAAACCAGCGGTATATATGTTCTCACTTGAACTGTTTTATTTTTCCTCTAAAGGTTTTTAGCACATAAACCCAGACACAACAGCCTTCAGCAAATCAGCTTTGACACAGTAAACATCTTATTTTCATGCACACATACGAACCTGCGTTTTTTTTTTTTTTCCTTGTGGAAAGTAAACGTGGCGAACACATCAGCACATAAATAAATAAACAGAACATGGCCTTTTGAATCACTCAAACCATCGCTCCAGTTTTCACTCCTCCACGCCTCAGGTGGCTGTTTGGCTGTTTTCTTTGTGGACTTTGAAGTTTTTCTTCAAGTTAGGAACTTTTTTATTACAATTTTTGCAACACCTATAACATCTCCTGACATGATATTGCCTTCTTCACTTAGAGCCRTGTAATGAAAACACATTTTGTTTTTCTGACTCAGCATTTTAAAAAGCTTGATGAAAATTCTGATGAGTTTACTGTCAGTGTGGCAAAAACCTAAAGAGAAATTAAATTAATTATTGAATTTTACAGTTGTTTTTTTATTTTATTTTTTTTAAATTCAAGGGTTTTGTTGTTGCTGAAAGTTTTGGGTAAGAACAATAAAAGTTGGTGAATCCAGAAATGTAATTTAAAATTCTGAGCTGACAAAACTCATGACAATCAGCAGCAATATTTTATAAGCCTCTGCACGCCCACCGGCTGACTCATTGTAATTCAGTGTGTATTAGAGCATCACTAGAATGCCTTCAGTATAAATAATGTGTGCAGGGAAACAGCAGCACTACTGCTGGAGCTTTCTTTTCCCACCATTACTTCAGTGTGACCCACTTATGGACACTGCAGCAGAGGAGTTRCTGCTCTGGGTTTCAGGATCACCTACAGATCAAAGGACTGGTGTTATTGCTTCCTGCCAAAGATAAATTAAAGATACGTTTTTTTATTGTCTGTTATGTTAGCAAAATATTTCATATACCACTGGATAGATTTTGATAAAACTAAATGCTACAAAAATGGCTACAACTTAGTTTTACACAGGGTTCCTGCTGGTCCTTAAAAAGCGTTAAAAGGCATTGAATTCATCAATCCAAAAATAAGGCCTTAATTAGTCTTAAAATGTCTTAAATCAATCTTTCAGAGGTCTTAAAAACACTTTAATTTAACTTGTTTTGCTGTAGGAACCCTGTTTACAGATACAGAGTTCATCTGTGAGCAGATAGCTAATTAGGCTCCCTAGGCAAAATTTCAGAAGGCAACCCCTGAGCAGTTTTCTAAATCTTATTCATACA